ACTTCCATGTGTGTCTGTGTGATATATTCATTGTGAAGCTGAATTAAAGCAGTAGACTAACTCACTAATGGTGAACATGTGAGTTTGTTAATAAACCAGCAYCACAACAGTGATAAACGACTTTTGCGWGGGAACYCAAAAGAAAAGAGATCTCCCATYTCCCCTCACGGGCTCCGTAGTTTTGAGATTTTATTTTTATTTTTAGTAGAAGCAAATCCTTTTCATTCTGAAGGAAGTGAAACATGAGACCAGGATCAGGTCAGCTCGGAGGTTCTGCAGCTCAGCAGGAACCCTCCTGGTCCTTCCTGTGCTCCATCTGTCACTTTGTTTTCTTCCCTCTGAGTCTGGTGAGAGTCTCAGCTGCAACAACAGCTACAGTTCGGCTGAGGAACTGTTGATCCATCAGCAGCAAACTGTGAACGGCAGAGCTTCTGTCTGCCAAAGGTCCAAACCTTCTGTTGGACTAAACYCTCAGAAACTCAATAAAAATAAAAGTTCACTCTCCTGATAATTTACTGTTTCTTAAACTCAGACCAGAGCCTGATGTCAGACCCAGTCCTGGTCCAAGAACTGAACCTTGTCCTCCTGTGGACCCTCTGTTGTTATCAMGTTTCCATGGAAGTGGTTCTGACTGACCTCAGCCCGTTGAAGAGCTGTTTGGACTTGTCCAGCAGGTAGCAGAAGTCGGTGACGGTCTTTCGTTCTCCTAACGGGATGTCGTCGTCAGCCTCCGCTCCAGTCATGACGTCTTACACCTAAACATAAAACAKTTCAACTTAAAAACCTCCAAAAATCATAAAAATACATAACTGTGCTGTGAGGCGTTGAAAACAAAAAGGAAAACGTAAAAAATTTAAATTCATTAACGTCCAACTTTCTGTGAYCCGGTTGGTTCTGAGTTTTTACACGAGTAAAACCCGTTAAATATGGAGGATTTCACCAACATAAACGTTAGGATCTAAAATGTTCTACTTTGAACTCAGTAAAAAGAAGGTTCTGATCCACAGACCGCTGAGCTCCTCACTGCAGAACCTGAGGTTCTACAGGTGGCCCACTTCAATAAAAACTGAGGAGCAAAGACGTCACATGCTCATCGTTTTTAGACCGACCCACTTGTCCCAGATTTTACTCTCTTCTAATTCAACAGTGCAATCAGGTCAGGCAGCAGAGTTGGGTCAGAACCAAAGCTGTGCTGTGTTAAAAGGTTCTGAGTCTGTGTGCTCAGATACAGGACCGTGCAAAAGTTTTAGGTTGTTTAAACTGTATTTATTGTTCCTCACAGAACAGCAACAATCCTAATTGGCAGTAAATTCAGGACAAAGACCAGGAAGACAAATCCAGAACCATACAGAACCATCAGAGCTGCAATGATTAGATAATTACTGGATCTGTTTGAAGTTTTTGGACTCTTCTTTGGACAAAACAAGATATTTTAGTTTTAAAAAGCAGCCAAACCACACAAATAAAGAAATTTCAAAAACAAGAAATCAGGAGGTTCTGCATCAAAATACAGAACAGACAAGAAACTAAACCTAAAAAACAAGACTTTTCATTAGGTAAAACCAAAGAACTGAGCTTAAACTGGAACTTTAGTTTCTTTGGGTCACACAGACCAAAAACAACCCATAACCCCAGAAAACCACTGATCTATACCACCAACAACCATCCATCTATACCACTGACAACTTACTACCTGCAATGTGAACCAAGCTCTGGCACCGGTCCTACAGGGACCTAACAGCCCGTATCAACAAGCCTGGTACCCCATACTCCAGGAGTACCCCCCACAGGAGTCCCCGAGGGACACGGTCGAATGCCTTCTCCAAGTCCACAAAATGTAGACTGGTTGAACTCCCATGAACCCTCCAGGACCCTGCTGAGGGTGTAGAGCTGGTCCACTGTTCCACAACTAGGACCAAAACCACACTGCTCTTCCTGAATCCCAGATTCGACWATCCAACGGACCCTCCTCTCTAGGACCCCTGAATAYACCTTACCAGGGAGGCTTAGAAGCGTGATCCCCCTATAGCTGGAACACACTCTGTGGTCCCCATTTTTAAATTGGGGGACCACCACCCTGGTCTGCCAATCCAGAGGATCTGCCCCCGATGTCCACACAATATTGTAGAGTCAGATCAACCAATGCACCCCACAACATCCAGAGCCTTAAGGAACTCCAGGTGAATCTCATCCAACCCCGGCGCCCTGCCACTGAGGAGCTTTTTAACCACCTCAGTGACCTCAGCACCAGAGACTGGAGAGTCCGACCCAGGGTCCTCAGGCTCTGCTTCTCACGTGTCGGTAGGATTGAGGAGGTCTTTGAAGTATTCTGCTCACCGACCCGCAACATCCCGAGTTGAGGTCAGCAGTGCACCATCCCCACCATAAACAGTGTTGGTGGTGAACCCCCGAGACACCTGATGGTGGACCAGAATCGCCTCAAAGCCATACGGAAGTCTTTTTCCATGGCTTTTCCGAAGTCTTCCAATGCCAACTGAGCTGCAATCCACTTGGACTGCCGGTACCCATCAGCTGCTTCTGGGGTCTCACAGGTCAAAAAGACCAGATAGGACTCCTTCTTCAGCCTGACAGCATCCCTCACCGCCGGTGTCCACCAGCGGGTTCGAGGGTTGCCGTCTTGACAATGGAGGCATGGAAAATGGACCACTCAGACTCAGTGTCCCCCACCTCCCCCGGAACGTGTTCGAAGTTCCCCCGGAGGTGTGAGTTAAAGCTCCGTCTGATGGGAGACTCTGACAGATGTTCCCAGCAGACCCTCACTATACGTTTGGGTCTGCCAGGTCTGACCGGCATCCTCCCCCACCAACGGAGCCAACTCACCACCAGGTAGTGGTCAGTTGACAGCTCCGCCCCTCTCTTCACCTGAGTGTCCAAAACATGCAGCCGTAGATCAGATGAAATGACAAAAAAGTCGATCATCGAACTGCAGCCTAGGGTGTCCTGGTGCCAAGAGCACATATGGACACCCTTATGTTTGAACATGGTGTTTGTTATAGATAATCCATGATGAGCACAGAAGTCCAATTGCAAAACACCACTCAGGTTCAGATCAGGGGGCTGTTCCTCCCAACCACGCCTCTCCAGGTCTCACTGTCATTACCCACYTGAGCGTTYAAGTDCCCCAGCAGAACGAGGGAGTCCCTGTTAGAAGCGCTCTCCAGCACCTCCTCCAAGGACTRCAGAAAYGGTGGGTAATCTGAACTGTTGTTAGGCTCATAGGCACAAACAACAGTCAGGACCCGTCCCCCCACCCGTAGGCGGAGGGAGGCTACCCTCTCATTCACAGGGTGAACCCCAACGTACAGGCACAAAGAAGGGGGGCAATAAGTATGCCCACTCCTGCTCGGCGCCTCTCAGCATGGGCAACTCCAGAGTGGAAGAGTGTCCAACCCCTCTGGAGGAGACTGGTTCCAGAGCCAGAGRGGTGCATCGAGGTGAGTCCAACTATATCTAGTCAGAACCTCTCAACCTCACACACCAYCTCAGGCTCCTTCCCCACCAGAGAGGTGACATTCCACGTCCCTAGAGCCAGCTTCTGTAGCCAAAGATCGGACCGCCAAGGTCCCCGCCTTCAACCACTGCCCAGCACACATTGTACCTGACCCCTACGGACCCTCCCACAGGTGGTGAGCCCATGGGAAGGGGGAACCACGTCTCTTATTAGGCTGTGCCCGACCAGGCTCCATGGGTAAAAGCCTGGCCACCAGGCGCTCGCCAACATGTCCCACCTCCAGGCCTGGCTCCAGAGTGGGGCCCCGGTGACCCACGTCTGGGCGAGGGAACTCCATTAATGGTACTCATAACTTTGTCTGATCCCTCACTTAGGACCTGTTTGCCTTGGGTGACCCTACTACCTCATAGGATCATTGGGACACTCAAACCTCTCCACCACGATAAGGTGCCAGCCCAGGGAGAGACAGTAATTTTTTTTTTTTTTTTATTTACCGTTATTTTACCAGGCAAATCCCATTGAGATCTCAGATCTCTTTTTCAAGGGCGGCCTGGGCCTGAAGGCAACCTATTGTACATGTTTTTGTGTTATAATCTGTTTAATTTAAATAAAAACATCTGCATTAATAATCTGATTATTTAAATAAAAACATCTGC